GACTCGGGAACCAAGCATCATCCAAGGGAGGCCAAGTGCATGATTTGTTGTCAGAACTTTGCTCACTTATGTATCTTCATTTCCTTTCCTTCACTCGAAAATTGTCCCCAATCTTATTGTTGTCCCCAATCTTATTGTGCATCATCACCTAATTCTGACTTCGATTATCATACATTATTATATATAGCAGAAATAAAATTAAAACAAGTTCTTGTTACTGCAATGCAATTAAATTTTTACTTATTGTAAAACGAGGGGTGGGGGATCTTGTCGCAGGCAATTATTAAATATTTGGAGGGGGAGGTGACTACAGCACTTGTTAGGGCATGATGCAAGGGGGGATGAGGTATTCAAAAAACTCCATATTTGTGTTACGTAAAGCCTCTAAAGTTAATCTTTTAGAGTAAAAAATACCAAGTTTAAACCTTTAAATAGAATACTTCAAACATTATTCTGATATGAAACAACAGAAACAATTGTCAATGAAATGTTTCTCTTTGCTGAAGTGATGAATTTTTAAGTTAAAATAATTATCTGGTATGGTACACTGCGTATATAATATTCCAAGGTGCATAATACTTTATTGAAGAGCATGCACACTTTTACCATATTATAAAAAGGATGAAAGAACGTTCCAGCTGCATTATCTTTATACAAGGTTAAAAAATGCTTAATAAAATAATATAAATTTCTATTATTAATATTATGAGAACTCAACTGTTAAACACATCAAAAAATTTATCTTGTCTAGAGCACAACACTTCACTTTAACATTTATGATTGACTTAAAAATTCTGTGAGGATGTGTGTAGGTTTACCAATATACTAATTTTGCTGTATCAGTGAGTCTGCAATTATACTTTTATCTACTATACTATAATCAGGGACTATCTCCAAAGATTTTTAATCCCTGTCAATCCAAAGAGCAACTACTGAAATGATCCTTAGATTGTTTCTCAACATAAAAAAAAATGTAACCCAAATACCACATTATTATTAGTTTTCAACATAATACACAACCGAGGGGGAAAAATACATTACATATAAAAAAATTAATAAAACTATTCTTAAATAAGTTATTTATACAAATAATGTAGTTAAGGGGGCATTAAGGTATTGCTACCATTACTAATTTATTCCTTTAATGTGGACAATGAGCAAACAAGAAGAAGTATTCTATTTTCTCCATCTACCATACAATCAAAATATACTGCTCCCCCAGAAGTCATAATACAGTTTTGACTCTCATCCGTGCATGCGTACGCAGACGCGTATATCCGTGCATGCATACCCACACATGTACATGCATGCATACCCACACATGTACATGCATGCATACCCACACATGTACATGCATGCATACACACATATGTACATGCATGCATGCATGCATGCATGCATGCATACAATCATAAGAATAAATAAATAAATTAAATAAACTTTAACATTGATATCAATTAAGAGCCAACTTGCCATCAAATAAGACATAAAGAAGTGTTTTAAAACTTACTGTAGCTCCTGTACAGCCTGGTTTGAGTCGGCTTGATCAAAGTCCAGGGTATGTGGTTGGTTGATAAATAATTTGATGGTTTTTGGTCCTTTGTCATGTGGAGCTTTAACTTTCAAAGAATGCACTTTCACAGCTTGAGTGAAAGAAAGATTAATAATTAGCTGTGCATCACAATCAGATTCGAGGTACCTGTAACAAAGTGTACAAATCTAGAAAACAGCTGAAAATGAGCTACTCTACACAAAAACAAGAAAATATATACATACACTTTAACCGTCAGTTTACACCGATCTACACTTTCATGTACTTGATACACATATTTTTAAAATATTAGGAAATGACAAGAATGCACTGCACTATGCTTCACACGTCGACACTTCTTGTTACAAATTTCACAAGTGTCTCTGAAGGTCAATCATTTTAGGTGTCCACCACCATCTTGTGAAAGGTTTCTTTATAAAAATACAAAATTAGACACAATCTTCCACAAATATCTTTACTTAATAAGATTACTTTTGATCATTTCGTTCACCACTTAGTCACTGTAGCTGGCTTAACATGTAGGGACAAACTTCCTTTCTATCAGACACTGTGTCTCTACAATAGCTACTAAGCAGATCAATTTATTACAAATGATTAGACAAAGATATAAAGTAACAATAATTTATTTTGACCAAGACAGTTCCATTTAAAGCTTACTTCTTTATACTTGGTAAGACAACAGTGACAAGATTGTGAGAAACAATTTGGACTCGTATCTTTTATTTAGAAGCTCTTCAGGTAACTCACCATTTCATTAGTGTAAGTGATATTATAATCGGAAATACACAAAGAGATCTGGTTTCAATTCCTGGTTGAAGAAGTTAATTAAAAATTCTTTTGTACTAAACTTATTTTAATTAATACCATATACCAGGCATGTTTTACAAACAATTTACCTTCTTTGGAACTCAACAGCAATAGCACAACTTAATTACATATGATAAGAGTAAAATTTGTCTACGAAACAATCGATTGGGGCAAAAAAAAATCTGGTTCAGGGAAGTTTCCGGTTTATGATTTTGTTGTGTATTTAATGACACTTGGAATATTGATAATTCCGTCATGAAAGAAGTAAAGTACATGACTTAATTATAATTAACATTAACAGATAGTGTATTTATGGTTACTAATTGGTGGATGGAAATCACCAATAATAAATATTCAACATCTAACATTGATGGCTTCTGAGTTTCTCTTGCTTCTATAAGTCTGACATTTTAATCAAAGTTTAGAGTTTTATGTTGTTTTTTTTCAACCATTGTTAATTGGTTTTGAAGCTCAAAAAATACACTACCTCATGGCCTAATACACTACCTCATGGTAGTAAAAAAATAAATCGCAGATAAAAATAAATTTGAATGTCATAAATCGAAGAGAAACTGTTTTTTATTAATAAAATAAGAGCATTAATATCAGTAATGCATCAACAAAATATGGTTCTCTTATGTCCAAACAAAATTTTAATATCTTGTTAATAGCTGTGAAAATTAAAATTTCATTTCAAATATAAAAATTATGTTTTATTATAATCAGAAGTATTTTTTATCAGTTCTAAAACTGAAGTTGATTAACCTAGAGGAACAGAAATATAACAGAAAATATTTATTGGACCAATTCGCTCGCAAGGAGGAACGTAAATCAATGACATTTCCTGAAAAATTAAAGAGAATATCCATCACCAATGTGATAAGTAATAAGATTGAAAGAAGTGACAAATCCCCACCTCCCGTTTCAAACACTTTGAATTTATCATTTAGTACTGAGAATTGAATTTCTTTACAAAAAATGAAGACCGAAATGGGATGTCTGTGGTGAGACCATTCGATCGGGTTTTTCATATAAATGACGGCAGGGCTACAAAAAAAACATTAACACCGATATCAAAAAGCACCCAATTTAAACAATTCGAGTTTTTTTTATTTCTGGCTTAATTTTTCTTTCTGAACAAATACGTTAATAATCTTTTGTACATAATAAACAATTTACATGTTTCTGCAGTAATTCTATGCTTCTGCAGTGCACATTTTTGCTTAGAAAACATTTTTTCAAACCAACTTTTGCGTACTTGTTGAGGCTAAGCCAATAGCAATATCCACGAAGTTTATTAGACAAAATATGCTTAAAATTGTCCCAAGAGCTAATTTCTATTTTTAACATTTTAGAAAATGAACTCTTAGAATTTTCGAAATTGATTTTCATCCAACAGAAGACATGCACCTTTCTCATAAACAACCTACACACAATCTAAAAACAAAATTTAATCATAAACGATGAAGAAATCTTTTGAAAAATTAGGAAATGTCCCAGGTGCATCATATAAAGTTTGCCCTGCAGTTGAAATATCCGTTTCAAATTGAAGGGTTGGCGACATTACATTTTTATTTATTTTTTCGTTTTTAGAGTCTCGTTTGCGCAGTCTCGCTTGTTTTCGTTAGCGCAGTCTCGCTTGTTTTCGTTTGCGCAGTCTCGCTCGTTTTCGTTTGTGCAGTCTCGTTTGTTTTCGTTATTAGTTTCTTTACTTGTTTTTATTTTCTTCGTTTTTAGTTTCTTCTTTGTTCGCTTGTTCTTAGTTTTTAGTTCGCTTGTTCGTTGTTTGCTCGTTGATTTCTCGTTTTTTGTTGATTGTAGCTGGTCTGTTGTTGAATTGTTGTTTGTTTGATTTGTTTGTTGGTCGTGCTTTTTCGTGCAGCAACGCATTATTTTCACTCTACTTCGTAGGGAGAAAGAAAAAAGAGACCTTCCTTTCCACATTACCTAGGCATTATCAACAAGCGTTCCAACAATTCAACGATCCAAAGTTTTATCTCTAAAGATTACACTTCTTTAGAATCCAATTGATGTCGCACAAATGGATAGTCCTTATGTTCGAAATGCCTACACTTGACCTGAATTTTTCAAAGAAAAAAATAATTTGTTAGTGCGGTGAAGTGGTGACTATCAAAAATAGAATAAACACCTTGGAAGACACTTGTAATTTCGCAACTTTTCGTCCCCCAACGCTAATTGAAAGCGGCGAGGGAAAGATCGTTGCTCGAACAATTAACGAACCAAATTTTGATTTCTGAAGACTACTTTTCCCTTGCAAACTATTGGACGCCGCAGAAATGAATACTCGTCCTATCCATCGAAATTATTCAATGTGACCTCATGTTTGAATGCAAAAATATATGTTAGGTGAAGTCATGAGAAACAAAATTAGGATAAACACCTTCGTAAACGCTATTTTCGCAACTCAGTCCCCTCCAAGCTACGTAATGCAGGCCTTACACTAGCAATACATTTCCGCAATATCTTTCCCTTGCGGTCACCTTTATATTAGCAAGAGGATGGAGGGGCGATATATTGTCACTAAGATTTGAGCAAGATCTTTCCAGCAAGATATTGCTGATCGTTTTATATTAGGAATATTTGTTGCCGTGTCTGGTGACGGCGCGAGAAAAATGAGTCCTGGAATTAAGAAAGATCCTCCTGGATTAAGTCACTTCCTCAGATAAAATGGAAGGCAGAAGATCCGAATTGCAGTCGCACTTACTGTGCTAAATAAGGAGATGTAGTAAAGCCGACGATTTGTGAGGACCTGTGACTGAATTTTATGAAAAGAAAAGGGGGCTTGTGCGAATTAAATAGAAATATCTCAATATTTTTCATAAAACAACACATTTCGTGGATTTTGATTCCCGTGGGAGCAAAGTTATTTTCTATTAATAAAAAGTGGATTAACTAATTCGATAAAGCATTTCAAAATATCTATTACCTACTACTGATGTATTAAAGATTAAACTTAAAATTGATTTAGATTAGATTAATATCTTAATAAGTTTTACGTAAAAAATAACAACGGGGCATCTATAACAGAACCAAAATATGAACCTTAGATAATCAACCACAGAGGGATTATTCATTAATATTTCTTTTATCGTCTTAAACCTTTTACACACATCAATTTTACGAAAAAATGTATATTAAAATGGAAATATTACATCCATGAACTACCAACCGTACGTACTTTCTGCGCATGTGACCGTGCTTATCATTGGCTTCTTCCAGCAATATCTTGCTCAGACTTCAGTCCAATTCTAGTCCCAGCAACAGCCGGCAATATCGGTCCGAGGACGGAAACACACGAGTTTACATTACGACGGGAATATCTAGCAAGAAATATTGCCCACATCAGAAATATTTATTGCAGGAATGTTTACATTGGCAACTCTTCTTGAAAAATAAAATTGCTCACCATTTTCTACCAAGTGTAAAGCCGGCTTAAGAGCGAAGAGGGAAAGATAACGTTGCTTAAACAGTTAAACGCATCACAGTTTAATTTTTAAAGACAGCGCTTCCTTACAAACTATTTGACGCCGCAAAAACGAATACCTCTCCTACCGATTGAAAAAATTAAATTTGACATCATGTTTCCATTTCAAGTTGAAATTTCGCAATTATTTTTTCCCTCAATGCTAACTAAGGGTATCAGTGAAAGACTGCGTTGCTTGGACCATCCCACATATATTTTGATTTCTTAACTATACAATTCTTTACAAACGATTTGACCACCGCACAAAGGAACACTCCTACCGATCGAAAGGATTAATTTTGACCACAAGTTTCGATGAAAATATATAAAATTGTTAGAGCAGTGAAGTGGTGCGTATAAAATCTAGGATAAAAACCTTGGAAAACACTTGCAACTTCGCAACTCTTTGTCCCCTCGAAGCTAACTAACAGCACCGAGAGAAAGATAGCGTTGCTCCGACCATTCAACGTATATTAGGATTTCTTCAGCTACCGCTTCTTTACAAACGATTTCACGCCGCACAGACGGACGGATTCTCTAATGATAGAAGTTCATGTATATGACCTCTGTCCTTGTAAGAGTTTATTTTGTTAGTGCGGTGAAGTGGTGCTCATAAAATCTAGGATAAACACCTTGGAAAACACTTGTAATTTCGCAACTCTTTGTCCCCTCAACGCTAACTACGAGCACCGAGAGAAAAATAGCGTTGCTTCGACCATTCAACGTATATTCGGATTTCTTCAGTTTCCGCTTCTTTAGAAACGATTTGACGCCGCACAAACGGACGGATTCTCTAATGATAGAAGTTCATGTACATGACCATTGTCCTTGTAAGTTTATTTTGTTAGTGCGGTGA